CCAGGAACAGAAGGTCGCCGATCTCCGGTGGGATTTGGCCCGAGAGTTCGCTGGAGACGATCGTAAGAGAGATAACACGGTGGGAAGCCCGATCGCACTCGATGCAGTACCACTCGCAGCAGTCAGTTTCCAGGTGCCATGAAGAGAGAACGTAGGGATCATTGAATGCTTTCTTGATTTTGAGTAGGACCTTCTTGTCATCTGGGTGGCAGAGCTCTGAAAGAACAAAGTTGAAAAGGAGGAAGAAGAAGAAGAGAGGCAGCCATGGGAGCTTGAGATTAGTAACGGGAAGAGCCATGGATTTCAGTGAGACACAAAGATTTATGGATTGAAAGCTGAATACTGTAATGAGCTTATTCATGAGGATATTAATAGATTGGTAAACTCAAAGAATGAAGATATGGTTGGTTTTAATTAGTGGGGTGTAGAGATTTTTATGAAGGTGGGGACTCGGAAACTCGGGCCATTCTCATTAAAGGTAGCAAAGTCAATAGCTACAGTTGTAGTGTGATGGATTTTCTGCATACAACTTGCAGAAGAGAAGAAACTGCACTTTTTTTTTTATAACCTGAAATCTATGCGGTGTGACTTCTCCAGTTGGATCCTTAGAATTAGGGTCTGTCTACGGCCACTCAACACTGTAATTGACGTTGCGGGACTCATCTCCGAATGGAGGTGGGTGAGGGGGCGGGGCAAGCCTTGACCATGCATGCTAGAGGAAAAACCGGGGAGGGTATCCCCATTCGGCCACAAATCCACTACGCCACCAGATTTGAACTCGTTATATATTTTGAGAGTACAAAACCTAAAATAGATAGAAGTTAGGCAAGGGGCTTTGCAGGGGATCTTCGAAGAAAATATTTTTTAAATAAAAATACATTTCTTACTAGCATTTTTTAAAGAATTACTAGTTTAGAATGTGTTTAGTACAATTTTTTGAATGGTTTTAGATTACTAAAAGTGTTAAAAATATATATTTTAAAGATTTTAATTGCTTTGAAAACTCTTTTGAAGAAACACTTGAGAGATGATTTTTAAAAAAGTGACTTTAAAATTGTTGACACATTTATTAACTAGTTTAAGCATTTAAGAGATAATTACTAGAAAAAAGTGTTTAAAATAAATGGTTCACAAAACTCATTGAAAGCCATGATTTTGAAATGAACAAAAATCATTTTTGTTTGACCAAAATCACTTCCATTTAAAAATTATGTTCGGCAACGGCCGTAAGGTCAATTTTAAAAGTAATGTAATTAAAAGAAAATATAAGAGTACTTTCGAAAACAAAAATTACTTATTAAAAACATTTTAGTTAAATCAAAATAATTTTTAGAAAATGTGAAACCAAACATAAATAATTATAATTAATCATTTAGACTAAAATAATAAGGGAGAGTTTAGTATATGTTTTAATTTAAGCATTTCTTTCACATTGAGTAATTATCTCGGGTGTTTAAACTACAAAGAGTATTCAATTACTTATAAAATAAATTTTCTTTGGATAATCATCTCTCTGAATGTTTCTTAAAAAAATAATAATAATTAAATTAATCAACCCAATTTTCTAAAATGTTTTTTTTATTTGTTATCAAAGATCGTATATTTTTAAAAGTATTTTTATTTATCTAAAATTAGTTAGTAAATTATACCAAACACACTCTAAATAAATAATTCTTGGAAGCTGTAATAATTTGTTTATAGAGAGGAAAATAGTGTAGAGTTGAATATTGATATGGGAATCCAATAGTAATGTAATGTGTGGGAGTTGAATAGTAATTTTATTGTTCAACTTTTACAACTCCTCCCCAAACATGGAAGAACACCTATTTTAATAAATGATCCATAGTAAAATAGCCCACCAAGGCTTCAAGAGAATTCAAATATTTCTCAACTTTTACATTAAATTTGTTTTAAATGGAATGATTTAATCAATTTGGATTCTTTTATCAAATGATTTGACAACAACTTCATTTATTATTTATTATGTCAAAAATCTCGTCATAATTACAATCACAATATAGTTGCACGTAGCTAAATATACATAAAAACAAGCAAATCAAAGACTGGGAGTCACCACAGAAAATAGTTCAAACAAGTGTTTACTTAAGCTTCTTCCTCCACTAATAAATTAAAAACGAGAAGTGGGGGTAGGTTGAAGATATATGCCAATTACTGCTACTTTGACATCTTATATAAAAGTTGAATAATAAAAAATTGGGTAAATTGCAAAAACCACCCCTCAACTATAGTAGTTGTTGCAATTACACCCCTAAACTTTCAATGGTGAAAACTAAATCCTCCAACTTTTATAAATGAAAAAAATTAAATCCCTAAACTTTCAATAATAAAAATTAAACTCTTAAACTTTTACCCGCTATAAAATTACACCATCTACAATTTCAAAGGAAAAAAATAAACTCTAACATTTTTTAAAATGAGATGTATTTGACAATTCTAGCCCTTTCTCTTCGACAAGAATTTGAGACAATGGTGTTGGTGGGAAATTAGAAGGGGAGGATAAATTGTGTGTTTTTTTAATTTTAGCCCGATTCTTAGTTCTCGATTCAATATCATTATCTTCCTCTTTCTCTGATCCACGATTTGCCGCAGATCTTCATCGAAGCTCGGAGATTCCAATTAACTTTGTCTACTGGAGAAGCCATGGAAACCGACCATGTCTCCGCCAGAAACAGAGCAACATTTTATGTGAAAAATGAGGGGAGATTCAATATGGGGTTTGCTCAAAATGGCACAAGGTTAAGGACTCATACGATGATTTTAGCGATCAATCCAAAGATTTGGAGATGAGAAATTGGAATTCAATGGATTGTAAGGAACGGTAGATCGGAAGGAGAGGAGCCTTTTATTTTTATATAAATATTTTGAAAATGTTACCTTCGACTTTCAAGCCCTGAAAATGAAATATATGGGTGAAAATAGAAATGGGAAATGCAAAAAATGAAGAGTGGTATGAAATAAAACTTGTTTTTGCTTGGTACATTAATTAGTTGAAGAGACCCGAGAGTGGAGAGAACGTTGAAGAAGATTGAAAGGATAGAGAGAGAAAGAAGATCCATATCACGAAAGTAGAGAGAGACGTGTGCTACATGAATCTGAAGAATCGAACCAGAATTGGAGATTTTCTTGGGAAATTTTGTGAAAGGCAGAGAAAAACGTATAGATCGAATTTTTAAAAATTTTAGGGCTTAATTTTTACCATGGAAAATTTCAAGGGTCTAATTTTATAGTTGTTAAACCATACTATTGAAAGTTTAGGGGTTTAATTTTTTCATTTATAAAAGTTGGAAGGTTTAATTTTCACCATTAAAATTTTAAGAGTGTAATTACAACAATTATTACAGTTGAGGGGTGGTTTTTACAATTTACAAATTGACATTTCGCTAACATCCCTAACAATAAAAAATTGACATTTCACTAACATCCCTAGCAATAAAAGAGGAAAGAGGTTAGGTAATAGTTAAAACATTTTTAATTTTTTAAAAATGAAGTCCCATTTAAATAAATCTCATAAACCTCCAGACAAGTAAAACCTTTACACGGGAAGACTTGATTTAACGTCATTGCGACGCGGAGCGGCCGACGTCATTTCCTGAAGGATCTCTTCCGAGATAATGGTTTGGAGTCGCCACCAATCATTTACGAGGTGTGATTGGTCAGCTATTTAAAAACTTGGTTTACGAAAAACAGATTTTAGGTTTGAGAGTCGACTGAGCGTAGGGAAGGTGTTAGCACCCTACGACACCAGCTTGAAAATGATACCACATTTTGTAAAAAATTATCCTATTATTTTATTTGGTAAAAAAAAAGGTTCCAATTCTCGTCATTGGAGTTTTTTAAATAATTACTTAACAAAAAAATAAATAATAGTTTTAATTCTAAGGAACATTGATATTTGAACTCGCGATATGAGATTTGATTCTCTGGCATCTCACCAATGTGCCACCACTTCAACATATAAATTATAATCCTTTTTACAATATAAATTTTAAAATTTTGAAATTTGTTTTAAAAATAAAACTATAAACGAAATCTTTTATTTAAAATAATTATTTAGTAAAAACAATTATAAAATGAGGTTTTAAAAGATTCGAACTTAGGTCATATACATTAAAAACCAAATATCTCTCCGTTACACCAACACTTTAGATGTAAATTAAGAACTCTTTTACAAAATCAAACGTTTTAATTTATTTTTTAAAACTAAAAAAAGCCTACGAATTTTGTTAAATTAAAACAACAATTTTTTTTTAATATAGATTAAAAAAAATCAATTTTATTTAAAACAAATTGTTAAGATCTTTTCCAAAAATCAGGTCGTTTAAAAAAAGATTTCATTCCCCTCTTATAACAACTTAAACAACTTAGTGTAAATTCGAAATGTTAACAATAGATTTTATTTTAAAACAAGTCTCTAAAAAACAATTTTCTTTAAATCTCTCTATTTTTTTAAATCCCTCTTTTTAAAAATAAATAAAAAATAAGAAAACAAAATTCATTAGAAGACATGAAACAAAAAATAATAAATCTTATTAAAAGCTTTCCTAAAAAAAACCTTCTAAACTTCTAATGGAAATTTTAAAGAATCCAATTTATTTTTGAAACAAGATTTAGTTTATAAAAACTTTATTATTTTTTTCTAATTTAACAAACTTTAATGCAAAATCTTTTATTTAAATAAAATTAACTTTTTGTTTACTTTATTTAAAAATTATTTTATTTTACTCTAAGAAAAATTATTTTTCAAAACTTATTTTAAAAAGTTTATGTTCTTTAAAAGGAAAATTTTGGTTTCTTTATTCAAAAGAATTTTTTTTTATTATTATTAAAAGAAGTGTATGAGGTATACTGTGTAGAGATTTTTACCACCAGGCTTTAGGATGGTTCAAGGCAACAATGGAGGTCATGAGGTGTGCACCGAAGTCTTGCTGTGTGTCGGTTCTATTGCACCGCCTTTAGAGACTAAGGGGAAGAAAAAAAATAAGAAATAAAAAATTTCTTCGCCCAAATCATTCTTCCGTGTGCTCTCTATATCCATGCGTGCCTCTACTCTACAACTTTCCTCCGTAAAATTAAACAAAAAGAAGGAGGAAAATAAGGAAGAAGAATAGAGGGTTTGACCAAATAATTGAAAGGGTTAAAACAAATAAAGAAAAAACAAAATCTTTTTAGTTAAAATAACTTTTTTTATTTCTTATCTAAATTTAAGTAAAAAAAAACTAATTACTTTTAAATTTAATGTTTGGTAGTTATTTTCTTTTTCTTTTAAAAGGAATAATTAAAAAAACAAATAAAAACTAAAATAAATATTTTTTAATAAATAAAAAAAATATATAAAATAAAGTGAAAAATAAAATAATACGATGGACAAGAACGGTGACAGGAGCGGGTGAAATGGGTGGCGAGCATGGATCTGGATTAGGTGCCGCGGACGACGAGCGACATGTAGACTAATTTCTGGCGAGTTGCAACGGTGGCAGAGAGCTATGACTAAGAATGGTTGGGTAGCAGGAGCGGACAAAATGGATGGATGGCGGCCGACGGGTTGCAACGGTGGAATGGTTGGGCAGCGGTCAGCGAGTTGCAACGATGGAATAGACGGGGAGTGGCAGCGGTAAGTTTGTGGAAAATGAGTTGTAAAGTATGACATTTTAAATTGCATTTAAGTTATTTACAAAGGTATATTTTTCTACAAAATTATTCAAGATTTAAAAAAAATGTCATTTAACCATGTAATATTTGATATATTTGGTAATTTTTTAAATGATGTTATTATTTTGGTCATTCCTGCATTGCCTCCCATAAATTTCTCCATTGAACTCCATCCAAACTCCACCCTATCGTTGGCCCAAACACTTCTCACATATCTTGCAAGCCCAATCATGATACCTTAGTTTTTTGGGCTAAATTGTATAAAATGTAATTGATAGTTCTAATTTTGTCATTTTAATTTATTCTCAATCTTTTAATTCGATGTTAAAAGAGAAAATATATTGAAACCAAGTACTTAGGTGAGAGGTAAAATTAAGATCAAATAAACTAGATCAAATGCCCCTAACTAATAATAATTGGTCTCAATTTTGCCATCTCAATTTTCAAATGTTTTAATTTTATTCTCAATCTTTTAATATTTGTTTAATATTTCAAATTTTGAATTATTTTATTCAAATAAACTAGGATATTAAGGTAGAATTAAGGAAAATTATAATGGGTTGTAAAATTAGATGGCCATATTTACAAATTTGTCACAAAGAAATAATTTGCAAATATTATAATTTATGTTGTATATTACTAATATACTATTATTTTTTTTATCATCGATAAAGTCTATCACACTGATGTACCAATGTTGATGTCGATTTCTGGGAGATGCCACGTACATCTTCGTCTACCAGCTCAGAGTTCACCTGCACAAAACAATCTAGCATGGGTATAATGCTCTCTGCCGAATGCACTTCAATGCCTAAGTGCATGTGTGTCGAATTCTCCCAAAGAGTTGTGTAGAGAATTTTGACTTACCTTTTTTAAGGTTTATCCTCCCTTGTATATGTGGAGAGAAGGATGCTCGAAGAAGGAGACGCAAACACAAAGACTAATATGTTGCGCCTGTGGGTTGTGGAGAGACAACCGACATTTTCCTTCACTCTATGCACTACAGGAGGGGGGCATAACTGAATGATCCTTCAGAGCGTATCGCCATTTGGGCACAAGGTGTTAATGCCTCGATTGTGGCTGTCTCTCGACCTATTGTCCAAGTACACTAGGCCCTAAACTAATGTGCTTTGATTTTGGACCTGGTGTGCTCGCTCCTCATTGTGATCCATGTGGCTTGATTGGAACTTGGATGCGTGTTGCCTTGGGTTTACCCGATAACAATGACTAATATAAAATACATCACTAACACACCATTTAATGTACTATTGGTAAAGTCTATCTCTATTATACCAATATAACGTATATCACTACTATAATTTTTTATGGAAGTAAATCACATAAAAAAATCACTAATATAGAAGTTCTAACATTTGTGCCAATTTTATGATGGGGCAAATTTGCACTCATTCAAGCTAAATCCACTATTTTCAAAAAAAAAAAAAAAAAAAAACCCTACAATTAATCCTTTTTAAATGTTAGGAACACCATTGCCCTTAAAAAGTGGAGTTTTATGAAGGAATTTGCCGAAAGAAAGAAAGAAAAAAACAGTGGACAAAGTTAAATTATGTATACACAAAATTAGGGAATATTTAAACAAACTTTACCTTTATTCTTTCATTGGGATGTCCATATATATTTTGATTTTTATGTCACATTTTGTCTAATGTACAACTTTCTCCTAAAGTTTTCTCAAAATCATCTTTCTTTGAATTGCATTCAAATGGGAAAGTTACCTCCAAAGTATGATTAAAAAATAAGATAACTATAAATAATTAAACTTTTGTTTTGCTCTTGGAATTTGTAAATTAAAAATGGTTTAAAACCATAATGATTCAGACATTATTTTATAATAAATAACCATATAAAAAAAGGCTTCACTATTTTGTTTAAGTTCATTTCTTCATAATATTACTTAAAAAATGATGGAAAATTATTCTAACTACACCTTTAAAAGCAAGCTACTAATTTCGGACTACTTACGTTAGAGTCATGTGTTAGTTTAATTCCACCGGTGTAGAAATGATTTATCAAGTTAAATTATAAATTTGGTCCTGAATTCTTAGGATTATGTCTAACAAGTTACTAAACTTTAAAAAGTATCTAATATAGGTTCTAAATTTTCAATAATATTGAATCTATAGATTCCTGAACTTTAAAACACAAAATGTCTAACAAAGTTGTCCTTAAACTTAATTTTGTGTCTAATTAATGAGTTTTTGAATTTTTAAAATTTGTGTATAATAGCCATGATCTACGGGATACTTTAAATTCTAAGAATCTACTGAATACAAATTTACGGGATACTTTAAATTCTAAGAATCTACTGAATACAAATTTAAAAGTTTAAAGTGACTTCAAACATTTTATGTGAAATTTTTGAAGACAAATAAATAATTGATTGAATAATTTCTTTTCACAGCTTGGGAAGTGACAATTAAAATAATAGGAACCAAAAGTTGCTTGTGGAAGGGGAAGGAAGAACAAGAAGAATCCAAAATTGAGGAGAGAATATATAAAGGAAGAGGAATAATGGGCAAAAGCTTCTTTATGTCCACATGTTTCCTTTTGCTTTTCTTTCAACCAACTCTCAACCCTTCTTTACAATTTAGGTCTTCCAAAATTTTTCTTTTTATCTTTATAGTTGCACTTGTCTTTATCTCAACAATGAAATGGCTTGGCAATGCAATTTCAAACAAGATAAAATTAAATAAATGAAATGGTTATTCAATTCAGACCACCATTTTGCATGATTCATTATCGAAATTCAGGGTTTCAGCGACGACATATTTTATCGCTAAAAGGTCAAAATTCGTCCCCAAAAACTTTTGTGATCCTATTACATGAATTTCGTGATGTATTGTTATATTTTCACGATACCAACGTGTTACAAGTTATGTTCGTTAGAAAACATAAAATTGAGTAAGAAAATTAGAAGGAATTATTTTGGTTGAAAAATAATATCGAAGTCGTAAATAAAATATATATCTCATTCTTATCAAAAATTATTTGGTGTGATTTTGTTCCTTAATTAACCATTCCATGTAAGTTCAAAATTTTTCTTTCTAAGAATTGTTTGATATACAATGTTTTAAATCTAGTTTTAAAATCTTTCTTATACCTATAATGGCGTAGAATTACTAGCGTCCTAAATGATATCTCCATTATTATGTTCATAATTTTGACTGGATAGACTCAGACTAAGAAAAAAAAGGTTATTGATTGGATTTTGATTATGTTTGGTCATGAATGACCAAATCTGCAAGTCTCGAATCGATTAAGACGAGCTAAGCAGTGAACTCCAGATGCCGTGCAGAGGACCTGCAAAACAGAATAGAAATTCCGATACTAAAGTCAGTAAGCGTCCAAGTCAACTCGAGAGAGAGAATTGGGTTGATCGCGTACCTTGAAATGGAGTGGAACGGTCCTATTTATAGGTAAGGTGACAAGGTTCTCGAGGTCCAAGTAATATATTTGGTCGGCTCGACATGAGAACTCATGACCGAGGTAAATACACTCGCATGGGGCGACGCGTGAATAGCCAACCATAGCATGCCACGTGTAGGTTGAGAATTCACATCCAACAGATTACTTCCTTTGAAATATACGGATTTTATTGCATTTTAAGATATTAAAAATATAAACTTTAGAAAACATATGGATAAAAAAAGATTAAATTTTTAATACAAGGGCTAAATATATTTTAACTAATTATGTAAACAGTGTACATTTTCTAAAAGCAAGGGACAGAAGTCTAACTTCACTTGCAAATATGTCATAGGCTAAATTTACCGATGAGATTAAGGTTTTTATCCAATCTATAATCTTTTGAAATTATAAATTTATTTATAAAATTTCCCTTTGTTGTATTAAAACTTCTCAATTAGATCCTTAAAAAAATGCATTTTGTTAATATAAAACTAATGTGTGATTAAATTAATATTCTATTAATTAACAAGACTATACACTTGGATATATGTCATTCAAAAAAAGAATGTTTAGTTCAGATTTTTTTGGTAGGTGCATGGGAGTTCAAACGTCAAATAACATTTCAATGGTATATTCACGTATCTAAATATGTTGATTAGAGTCTGCTCTTTCCACTAAAAAAATTAACCATAAATAAATAATACACGAAAAAAAACATGTTTAGAACGATTTGTGACATTTTTTTAATTGTCATAAATTCTTAAAATGGTCAAATTAATTGTCATAGAATACTATTTTTTTTATTAATTTTTCGTGATATTTATGAAATGTCATATAAAATATGTAAAAATTCGTAAATCATCGTTTTTTTCTGACAAAATCACGTCTCAACGAACAGTTATTGACTGTGATTGAATTCAAACAAAAAAAATCAGTTTTTGGGACAGTTTTTAACTGTCATAAAATTATAAAAACCCGAAAATTAGCATTTTTTCCCACATGAAAACGTACCCCGCAATTTGTGACAGTTTGTTTTTGTTTCCAATCTTTTTTATTGTTCATAACTGTAATGGAATACCAGTTTTCTAGTAGTATAATAAAATAATATCAACTTTATGTAACATTTTCTTTTCTTTCTACAAACTTAAATTTTCACTCCCCACTCAAAATAAGAAGACATTGAAATCAAATCCAAAGGATTAAGAGAGAAAGTAGATATTAGTTTAGTTTAATTTGTACAATTTAATATTATACAAATTTTACTAGTTAAAATGGTTACAAATGAAATGTAAAAGCTCCTCAAGTCCCAATGAACCAAAATAATCAAATAAAGCATATTGGTGAGATTCCTTCCACATATATTCCTCCTTTGAAAATTTTAAAAAAGCTTATCTTTGTCCTTCAAAGTGGGGTATTGATTCCTTCTCACTATAGGAAGGGAATTTTTGAACAACTATACCTCACACACTCACTTTTTTTTCCTCAAAAAACTTTAAACTTTGACAGCTTAATTGCACATGATTCTCCACTCTTAGTTTATAGCTTTTAAACAAAGCAAAAAAAAAGCCTCCCTTTTTGCACTATACTTGGAACTCCCTCAAACACACCTCATAATTCTCAATCTTAACCCAACAAATTAGATCAACCCATTTCAAAACTTTGAGAGAATTCTTTCATAATTGTTTTCTTGGAAAAGAAAGATCAAGAAAAAGCCATGAAATTCAATGCTTTTCTGATTGTTTTCTCCAACTACGTTTCGTGAAAAAATTCTCTTTAAAACCTGGTTTCCAAATTGTTGTGACAGAGTGCGATTGTGACAGTTGGTATCACGGTTGGCTTTAAACCAGCTTGTACCAATGAGTGCACCGGCGCCAGGCAACGAGAAGGAGGACTACAAGTTGAAGGACACGAAACCACAGCTTGGTGAGCGATGGCCGCACGGGGGACTACGTGGCGGCGGGGGATGGATAACGAGCGAGCGAGCGACGAGCACATACGACCTTGTGGAGCAGATGTTCTATCTTTACGTGCGCGTGGTGAAGGCGAAGGACCTGCCACCGGACCCTATGACAGGGAGCTGCGACCCATATGTGGAAGTGAAGCTTGGGAATTACAAAGGAAGAACACAACATTACGAGAAGAGAACTAACCCGGAATGGAACAACCAAGTTTTTGCTTTCTCCAAAGACAAGATTCAGTCAACAGTTCTCGAAGTTTTTGTGAGAGATAAAGAGATGGTGCCGAGAGATCAATATGTAGGGAAAGTAGTGTTTGATTTGAATGAAGTGCCCACCAGAGTCCCACCGGATAGTCCCTTGGCGCCCCAGTGGTACAAGTTGGAGGACAGAAAAGGCGATACTAAGGTAATGTTAAACCACCACTAAACTCATCAATTTAGTCGCTGTAAATGATGAAAATTTTAACTCGTGGATGAGCTAGTCGATTTTAACTTTAAACTTTATGTTTTATAAAATTGATATCTTAAATTTAAAATAAGTTGTGATTCGCTATCCACATTCATAACAGTGTTGGATATTTCTAATTAGTTGGATTTGGGAATTTTGTTGCTATACCTTCAGTCTCTTTTGTTTTCTTGATTTTGTTTTGGACATTTCTTTAACATGAATTTAAGTATTTTGTTATTTAAATTTCGTATGATTTGTTGATTTGTTCACCAGCAATTTTCAAATTTTATTTTAAGGAGATATTAATTTCAACACTAAATTAATGAAACCAAAAGTTTAAACTTAAAATACAGTTGAAGTACTTTATCCTTCCCAGTATTTTTTATTATTTTTAACTTTATCTAGTACGAGACAGATAAGTGATTTATTGATATCAATTGAAAAGGAAATAATATTACCTACTATGTGCCATATAACTTGACCTCCTCAATTCATACAACACCACTAAATTCTCAAAGTTTTTAAGCTAATCTAATAAATTACAGTAAATTTAATCTCTCAGGTGAAAGGGGAGATCATGCTAGCGGTCTGGATGGGGACGCAGGCTGACGAGGCCTTCCCGGACGCGTGGCACTCGGACGCGGCCTCGGTCCACGGCGAGGGCGTATACAACATAAGGTCAAAAGTGTACGTGTCGCCCAAGCTATGGTACCTAAGAGTAAACGTGATAGAAGCACAAGACGTGGAGCCACAAGACAGGTCCCAACCCCCACAAGCCTTCGCAAAAATCCACATAGGAAACCAAATCCTCAAAACAAAGCTGTCTCCGACAAAGACCACAAACCCACAATGGAACGAGGATCTAATCTTCGTGGTGGCCGAGCCCTTCGAGGAGCAGCTCGTGCTGACAGTGGAAAACAAGCTCTCATCCGCCAAGGACGAGGTCATGGGGAGGCTTATCACGCCCCTCCACGGCTTCGAGAAGCGCTTGGATCACCGAACCGTGCACTCGCGATGGTTCAATCTCGAGAAGTTTGGCTTCGGGGCCTTGGAAGGCGACAAGCGGCACGAGCTGAAGTTTTCGAGTAGAATCCACTTGAGGGTGTGTTTGGAAGGGGCTTACCATGTGATGGATGAGTCCACAATGTATATAAGTGATGTGAGGCCAACGGCGAGGCAGCTGTGGAAGCAGCCCATTGGGATTTTGGAAGTGGGGATATTGAGTGCTCAAGGGCTGCAGCCAATGAAGAAGAGTAATGAGGGGAAGGGGAGTACGGATGCTTATTGTGTGGCTAAGTATGGCCACAAGTGGGTGAGGACAAGGACTGTGACTCAAAGCTTTAGCCCTAGGTGGAATGAGCAGTATACTTGGGAGGTTTATGATCCTTGTACGGTTATTACTATTGGGGTCTTTGACAACTGCCACTTGGGTGGGAATGACAAGAACGACTCGAGAATCGGGAAGGTAACGATAATTTCAATTCGATAGTACAAGACTTAAAAGCTTAGAATAGGTTATGATATGTGTTTCATCTTTGAACATTGAACTTTATTCTATTTTAGTCTTTCATCAAATATTGGTAGAGAATAACTATTTTGGTACTAAAATTTTAAAAACGTCTATTTTAGTCTTTGAACTTAAAAAAAGTAACCATTTTAGTCATTTGATTTTGAAATGTTTGATTTTAACTCATACGCCTTTTGAAAAATAACAAACTTGCCTTATAATGGTTTTGCTTTTAGTATATGTTGCATTAGATACCCAATAAATTAATTAAATTTATCCAATCCATCAATTTACTTTTTTGAACTGAGTAGTGTAGTAGTGTTTTATTCATCTTTAATACGGTATCAGCGTGAGAGGTCCTCTGTACTTAAGCTTTTTGAGTTGAGTGGTGGGTTATTCAAATTAAAGCGAGTATTAATTGGATAAATATTAAGTGTAAAATAAATATTTTAAAAACTTAGAGACCAAAATGATTCTTCTTTTTTTATGTTTATACAGTAAAGTAGAGATTTTAAAAGTTAAGAACCAACCAAGATAGAATAAAGTTGAAAGTTTAGAGACTGAAATAAGATTTGCTTAATCATTCACTCGTATTGTTAACAGGTACGAATCAGGCTTTCTACTCTAGAAATGGATCGAATCTACACCCACTCTTACCCACTTTTGGTGTTACAACCATCTGGTTTAAAGAAGATGGGGGAGCTCCAACTAGCCGTGAGATTCACTTGCCTTTCCCTAGCCCACATAATATACCTCTATGGCCATCCCCTCTTGCCCAAAATGCATTATCTTCACCCTTTCACCGTCAACCAACTAGACAGCTTAAGATTCCAAGCCATGAACATCGTAGCCGCAAGGCTCGGCCGAGCCGAGCCATCGTTACGAAAAGAAGTCGTAGAATACATGTTAGACGTGGATTCCCATATGTGGAGCATGAGGAGAAGCAAGGCCAACTTCTTCAGAATCGTCTCCCTCTTCTCTGGCGTTATCTCGATGAACCGATGGCTCGGGGAGGTTTGCCAGTGGAAAAACCCTATCACTTCGATCCTCGTCCACATCCTCTACTTCATCCTCATCTGCTTCCCGGAACTCATCCTCCCCACAACTTTCCTCTACATGTTTCTGATTGGGATATGGAACTTCAGGTTTCGGCCGAGGCACCCGCCGCACATGGATATAAAGTTGTCGTGGGCGGAGGCAGTTCACGCAGATGAACTGGATGAGGAGTTCGACACTTTTCCAACATCGAAGGCGCAGGATGTGGCGCGAATGAGGTATGATAGGTTGAGGAGCGTGGCGGGGCGAATCCAAACAGTGGTTGGTGACATAGCTACACAAGGAGAAAGGTTCGTTAAATTACCATTAAACCTATAAACTTAAAAGAATATTACAACAATTTCCTGCTACCAACATATGTTGTACTGGCTCGATATATTTAATCATTTATATTCTTAACAGGTTTCGGACGTTGCTCAGCTGGAGAGATCCGAGAGCTACGAGTCTTTATGTGGTGTTTTGCCTTGTTGTGGCTATTGCATTGTATATTACTCCGTTTAAGATTGTGGCTTTGGTTGCAGGGATTTATTGGCTTCGGCATCCTAGGTTTAGGAGTAAGATGCCATCGGTTCCTAGTAACTTCTTTAGACGATTGCCCTCTCGAGCTGATAGCATGCTTTGAAAAAGTTAATTAAGTAGGAACCCACACCATTGAAAAGCTAATTCTTGAGAGATATATAGACATCTCTTTAAACTTTTGCTTTTGTTTTTTATTTTCTTTTAACTTTTTTCTCTTTAAATTGGAATTGACCCAACAAACTATCTTTTTTATCAAATTATCCTAGATTATTCAAACGAAACCGTTCATGAGCATAACTTAGCGGTAATTAGCATATATCTTCAACCAAGAGATTGTAACTTCGATCCTCCCACCTCAGTGATGTAAAAAATATATATAGTCAAGTCGATATTTAAACCATGATATTAACCACGGAAAATTATTAGAGTCAAAATTGAAAATTTAAAAATGTTATCCGAGGGTTCTGAATCTCTCAGCTATCTTTCTCTCTCCTCACGCTCTCTCCCTCTCTCCTCACGCTCTCTCCCTCTCCAGTACTCTCCCTCTTCTCATGGTGAGAGAGAGAAAGAGCTAGTGATGTTCTTTGTCAATGATGATTGTATTTAAATGCCCTATGAAACTAAAAAATAGCTCAATAAATTTGGAAACAAAAGATTGAATAAAAAAACTTAGTTGTATTTCATATATTTCCAATATTTTCTAATACGTTCCTGGTAACAGATTTAGAAAGTGGGATCAAGTTGTTCAAATTGTGTTTAGTAATATATTCCTAAATAATAAAACTAATGGTAATTATCGACTTTTGTTTTTAATATCCGTAAGTATTCGGGCCAACTTATGTGTGACTAATTTCACAGGACAACCGTCTAACTTTACTACAGTTAGTTGACAACGAAACTCATAGTATATTAAATTCTAGATAATAGTTTGAATTCATTCCGTCTAAATTCTTTTAAATTTACTTACAGGACCAGCACATAATGTTAAATTATCTGACTCAATATTTAATTGACTCTCAAATATTATTAATAAATTTATAAACATATTTTAGGTTATAATTTTTGTATAATTGTTATTGGATAATGCTGATAATATTATATAATTTATAATTTATTATAGTACAAAATAATTTAATTTTTACCAAAAATAAAATGAGTTTATATCACGAAATAGTATATTTACTAAAGTTTTATCAACTTCAGTGTAATTATGAGTATTAAATTTCAAAATTAACCGAAAACATAAAAATACTGTTTTAAGAATTTCTCCTATTTGAATTGCAAAATTCAAAAATTGTTTTCAGATTCAAATCCATTAAACAACATCCAACAAGGATATTCACATAATTTAATTATTTGATTGAGTGAATCTGAAAAGAAGATAATTTTCCCGTCAAACAAACCGTAAGCTTAACTTTGGTGCGTAGTTTATTATATTCTTCCTTTGATTTCTCCTTCAAGAAATTGGGAAGTATGTTTTAGTAGAAGTCGATCGGTTGAACCTTTTTTAATGCTTCTAAAGTAATGCCTCTTTCGAAAATTAAATGAAAAAGAAAGACTTATTAGTGAAAATTCATGGACTACAAGTGTTAAAGATTCCACATCAAAAAACTCAAGAGACATAATGCAAAGTTTATAAGATCGATGAACTACTCTTATAATTGCTAGTTGATTTTGAGATGAAACCTATAAATTTTGAGGAAAAAAGAGTAGGAATAATTAACAAAAGGTTTATAATAGACATGAACTACTCTTCTCATCGTCAATTGGTTTGAAATGGAAACCATGATATGGTATCAGTGTCATCTATATAGAGTTTTAGCCAAACTTTAGAGTGAGCAACAAAGGATCAAAAGCTTATGAGTTAAGCAAAATTTCTTGATTGTCTTTGCCAAAACCCGTGAGCAGAAAGATATTTGAAGGCATTTTTCCATCTAAGGAATTATGCTTGTAACGGCTAGAGAATTTACAAGGAAAGAATTTATGCCCAATAGTCAAAAAATGGAAAAGGAAAATAGTAGGTACATATGGCAAGATTGATTGGTTGTGATAGTGCAATAATTAGAGATTCTTGCTGATTTGAGGGATTGATTTCCAGCTTGTACTTCCAGCCAATTTATCTAATGAAAAGGAATCTACTTGTGTCCAGCTAATATTTTAGTGTCATTTGGCTACTGATACTTTGTTGTTTTTATCATCCTTTCTCAGACTTAAGGTAGTGATTGAAAACAGCTTTTGTCAATGGTTTGGTTAGGATGTCGGCGAGCTGTTGTTTAGAGGTTACGTATTTCGTAATGAGTAGCCCAAGTACTACCTTCTCGCCTACAAAATGATAGTCCAACTCTATGTGTTTTGTCCTAGCATGGAATACATGATTAACAGGTATATAAAATGCACTCATATTGTCATAATACAATTGTGGTGTGTTTAATAATGGAATGCTAATGTCACGAAGGATGTAGATAATCCATGTAAGTTCAGCTGTTGTGCTGGCCATGGCTCGATATTCAGCCTTTAAGCTTGATGGAGCAATAGTAGGTTGCTTCCTGGAATATTGTGAAATGCAATTCACTCCAATGAATATGCAAAATCCAGTGGTGCTGCGTCTAGTGAAAGGACACCCACCCCTGTCTGCATCACAAAAACCATATAAGTTAGTGGAGTTATGTTTATAGAAGGTGATATCATGATCCATTGTTCCTTGAATGCAGCGTAGGATTCTTTTTCACAACATTAAAGTCCTTAGTTGTTGAATTTTGGAGTTGTTGATATACTCAGTTCACTACGTACACAATGTTAGGTTGAGTGAGTGTCAGATACTGTAAGGAACCTACAATGTTTCTGTATAGTTTGGCATCATAGGTTGATCATCATTTGGTGAGTCTTGAGTAGATGTGGCCATATGTGTGCTCATGCTAGATGCTCGTTGCATTTTAGTTTTGTTTAGGAGGTTGTGGGCATATTTCCCTTGAGATAGCATGATTTCTTTAGATGTGTGTAGACCCCTAAATTTGTCCAATATTTCATTTCATCATTTTTTTTTACTTAATTAATAGTAATTTTTCAATAGAATTTTTGTTTATATTTTGTGGGAAATATTTTCTTTTTGTTGTCTGTCTTATGAAAAAATAAAAAAATAAAAAGTAAAAAGTTTTTGGTTTAAATATCGATTTCTTTATTATCTTTTTTTTTTTTCAAAATCAAATTATTTTTAATAAAATATTAAAAATAAAAAAAGTAACAAAATGATAAAGATTTTTGTAATTAAATGTGAATTTCCATATTTTCTCAAAATAAAATCTTTTCAATAAAAATAAAACAAAATCTTACTCATATGGAAAAGTTTTAAATTTGATTTAGCATAATTTGGTAAAGATTAAAATTTGTAAAAAATTATAAGATTTGATTGATTGTGTAATGAATGAAAATATTTTTTTCCATTTGTAAATTAGGGTTTTGAAACACTATAAATAGGAACTAGGTGGCTAGGTTTAAAAGGAGGGAGAAACATATCACAAAGGAAGGTGTACTACTCTCATTTTTTGCTCTCTCTCAAGGTTTGCTTCTTTTCGTTTTTTTTCCTCTTGAATCGTTACTGTTGCGCCTCAACTTGATAACTAGAGGATAAGTGCAAGTGCACACTGTCACAAATAATAATCTGGAAATATTCCAAGTTCGTCTCTACAGGGACTAGTTTTTCTTTTAAAATTGAATTTGAAAACTGTTGGAATGAGCAATCAGGTTTGTGATAAAAATTGGTGAGATTGGGTTAACACGAAAAACACACAAAAATAATAGAATTTAAAAGGTCAACCCCTACTTCTGTTTAGTTCTAAAATGATGAATTACACCAACCAAATGTGCCCGTAATTACGCTCAATTTATGCAAACTGGTTCAACTCCTATTCCATACTGCTTTTGGTTTGTTTAGAAGTTTAGGTCAGTGTTTACATATGTCTATGCAACTCTAGAATCCTAAATTAATTCAATGCAACTTACGTTTAACGGGTAAGATAGCCTATGTCTAGGATCTTGTTTTAGTTCTTATTTCTAAGTAACTTCCCGTTTTACCTTGATGAAATCCGTTTGACTCTAAGCTTCTCAGAATTAAATTCAAACCAATGTGATTTAAACAAGTGGCCAACAAGAAAATCAACTGGATAAATTGTATCAATCAAGATAAGCAAAAGAAGTGTAATACGACGTGCTCACTGATAGATGTAATTTATAGTGATAAGAACTAAAGCATTTGTAGGAGGGTTGAAAAATTAATTTAGCTACTCATGGAATTAAAATAAATGCAATAGCAAAAGAAGATAACAAAAGAATGCATTTTCATTGAATCGGGAAAGAAGAACACAAGTTAGAGTAACTAGAATTTCGATAAAATAAGCAAGGGATAAGTGTAAAAACGATAATGGAAGAACAAAACTTAAAGCTGGAATTAAAACTTAAAAGCTAAAGTTGACAAGAATTTAGAAAGAAAAAGCAAAGTATGGAAAATGAGATGTGTAGAAGTGATGTTTGGAGGTTCCTTTTATAGGCCATGGAAGTAACAAGTATTCGAGAAATTCAAGGGAAGTTGGCAACCACTCTTTGTAGAGATTTTAGGAGTAAAACTGAATCTTGGACCAATAATTTGGTCAAAAGTTGTTATTCCCGTTTTGACAATCTATGCATCGAATGTGGCTGGCGCATTGCAAAGCTGGAAGTTCCAAAACAATTGGCTGGCACATTCTTCTAATAAGCTAGAAATTCTGGGCATGAGATGTGCCTGACGCATTGCAGTCATCAATTTCCAATTTTCCTTACAAAATAAACAAATTTTCATCAATTAGCCTCTATTTGCTTCTAACTATTTGCCTAAGTCTTTAATAACGAAATATGCACAATTTCCATGAATTATATGCATTAACATACATTTTCCATCATAATTAACTCCCAACCAAACATGAAAACTACTTTTTTTTTAGCCTTTAATCAAGTCTTATCAGTTACTTTATTCGTTATCCCACAAATTCTCTCTCACCACTTCCTACTCGTTCCTCACAATCTATCACACGGTATGTCACTCGCTCTGTACTTTTTTCTTTTTTTCTCTTCTACTCACCTAACTTCTTTTATCTTCTTCCATTCCATTTGGTTGCTTTTGTTTTATTTTCTTCATTTTTTGTCTCCTTATTCATTTTCTCAAAAAGTTTGCTCTATAAACTATTTTCACCACAACTTTCTTCTTCATCATTTGACTGGTGACACATTTGAATAAGAATGCAAAAACCGAAGTTTTGTAAGACGGTAAGTTTTCCATGTTATCAAATAAAGTAGATTGATATACTTCCTCATATAATGTTTTCGTACCTATGTTTCAAGCGCAAGTTTAATTCTTTCGACATTATTTTCGGGATATGTTTCTTCCCTTATTTTATTTCGCCTTGTTCTTCTTTTATCTCTATTGCTAATTTCATATCATGGTTGCTTGAACTATTTGTAACATGGGTGATTTTTTTATTATCTTTTTAACATATTTATTTTGTTTACATGTATAACATTTGGCAAATGTATATAATATTGTACAATAAATGTTATTTTTCTTAATTTTATTAAATATCTTCAACTAAAACTTTGGTAAAGGAAAGCCCCAACGATGGAACCTTGAAATATTCGGGAAGTCGATGTTCTCGGACTCTTGAGTCTAAAGATCAATATCTCGGACGCCAAGATTTGATTTTTAATATGTTTCCTAAAAAATTGTGCAATTTTAATCAATATGGTTTAAACAAATATTTATCTGAGAAAATATCTTTTATAAATGCGTTTTCCCCTAAAAATTTCAAAACTTTTAAAAGCATTTACGATATTTCTAAAAAATAACAAATCAAATATTTGTCATTAATATTTTTCCTAAAAAGTTCCTATGATGGAAATTGAGGAGTTCGAAAGGTCGATTCCCTAATACTCTCGAGGTGGTGAATTTATTTTGGGAGGCCGAATTAAGTTCAAATAAAAAAAATTTCTTAATGGCTTTAGGCCACTCATAATTATTATTCATTATTTACCTTATGAATAATGATCAATAAAATGTGGGACATTTAAAAATAAAAATAAAATTCTTTTTTTTGAAGGCCATTTTCTTGAAAACAATATGAAAAACAAATTATCATTCATTGAACGAGTGTTGTGGGGTGCTAATACGTTCCCCATACACAAAAGACCCCGAACCCATATCTTTTTCGTGCAGACCAACTTATCCATGCATATGGGTGGCCAGTCACACCCTATAAATAAAGACTGGTGGCGACTCCATTTTTCTCCTCTCAGAAAAAAGTCGGCCGCTCCACGTTGCAAACCCGTAGCGACAATGTGTATTTAACTTCAACTCCAAAGAAGCAGTGTAGTGCTCCCAGATCCTTTAAGGCAAATTCAGAACTTAGAGTTTGGATAAGTTTATGAATATAGGTAATGTCATTTCCTGTGAGTATTATGTCATCAACATATATAAGCATAAGTGTTAAAATAGATTTATTTTTTAAAATGAATAGAGAAGGATCCGAGCGGCTGCATATAAAACCAATATGGAACAAGAAGTTTGCCAATTTATCAAACCATGCTCTAGGTGCTTGTTTTAATCTGTAAAGAGATTTTTGAAGTTCACACACATGAGAAGGATAGGGAGGATGGATAAAACTTGGAGGTTGGTGGAACACTTGTTCTTTCAAATGACCGTGAAGGAAAGCTTTTTTAACATCTAATTGTCGGAAAGTCCAATTTGCGCTAGTGATCAAGGATAGAATTAACCTGATTGTAGTTGGTTTAATTACATGACTATATGTTTCTTTATAGTCCAAGCCTTCAACTTGACAGTATCTTTGAGCCACTAAACGAGCTTTATGACAATCCATTGTCTCATCTTCCTTCCACTTGATTTTAAAGATCCATTTGGAGCCAACTATATTGACACCTTGTGGCTTAGGTACAAGAGTCCAAGTTTGATTATGTTGTAATACCTTCATTTATCTTCTTCCATAGCAACCTTCCGGTGGGGAGAAATTAGTGTTGCTTTGTAATTTTTAGGCTCGGTGTTTAATGTCTCAGCAACGTAGGACTGGTTCTTGATAGTCTTTAGGCGGTTGACTTCCTTGGATAGAGTTGAGTCAATTAGTGGATTTTTAGCCAACTTTCCTCTAGTGACCATGCTATGGGTGTTGATATCTTGTGAGTGATTTGATTGAGTTGCACATGTATAAAGATTTCTTGCACTAGGAAAAGCGAGTTAAATGTAAAAGCTAGTGTTGATGTTAGAGGAAGACTCACAATTCATTAAACTTGAGCAAACGTTATTTGGAGTAGAAGTAGGGGCATTCATGGGTTGGGTTGGGTCGATTTACAGATGTTTTCTGGACAACCAAAAATTTCGGGTTGATTGGTTCACTTACCCGAATGCATCACTCAACCCAACCCTTATTAGTTCAGTTTGGTTCGGGTTAGGTCCTCGGGTTACCGTGTTAGAACACCCTGATCTGCATAGACCAATGGCGAACACTCATCGAAAAGAAGGAAATAAGAAGAACAGATCTGAATCCCAAACTTCCCGCAGTGAATCGATCTAAAATAGAGACACCGAATATGATGCAAATTTCGGTTAAAAACAACGATGATAAGGTAGATCTAAAGTGGAGATGCTTACAGTGAGGCAGATTTGAAGTGGAGATGCTTGCGGTGAGGCAGATCTTAAGTGGAGATGCCGGCAGCGAGACAAATCTGGAGTGAAAATGTCAAAGATGAGAAAGAGGTGAAGTAGTATTGTAACCCATACAGAGAACTCGACTCACCGATTAAACCCATTTATGAAGACAGAGAGAGAGAGAAAGAGGGAGGGAGGAGGCTAAGGGAGAAACCAGAAAGAAAGAAAGAAGGGGCTGAGGGAGAAACTAGATGGACGGGGAAGGAAAGGGGAGGGAAAGGGGAGGGCTGAGGGGGAAACCAGATGGGGGGAGAAGGAAAGAGAGGGGATGAGGGAGCTGCGAGAGAACGATAGAGAATGAAATAAAGGGGAGATAAAAGAGGGAGAAGATGAGATTGAGAGAGAGATCGTGAGGAGGCGGTGGTGCAGAAACCCTAAACCTAAACAAATATATATATATATTAACAAAAATTATTTCGGTTTGGGTTGTACCAAACTTTTCTTTTTCAAACCTGAGTATCGAACCGAATTAGTCGGTTCTTACATTTTTTAACCCAACCTAAACCGAGAATTTACCTAAACCAACACAACCCTTACGGTTTGGATTAGGTTGCTCAGGTTCTTCGAGTTACTGGGTTTTTTAGCACCCCTAAGTAGAAGAGGGCAAATCTGTGTTGTTTGAAGTATTTATTTGCACTGCTTTTGAAGAAGCAGTTTCATCAGCTTTCTGAATGGTCGGAGAGGCTGCTTCTTGAGACATAGAGGAGCTGGAATTTTGTGTGCCTGCTGTGTTTATTTGTGTCAGGTTCAATTCGTATATCTTTGGATGTGGCTACTACATCAGTCATTGTTGTAGATGTTTCAAAGGCTATGTCTTGAGTGTAAATAAACTAAAGGTTGGTGTCATTGCTTTAGTTTGCACAATGGGAGGTTCAGCTTCCACATTAAATTCTTGGATGGAGTTTATTGACTAATTTTCATTGTCTACCTACTATAAATTTTCTGAATGAGAGTTTGCACCTTAGCTATTTGTTGTATCAGCCCACATATCAAACCTCATTCTGTTGGAAATGATATTTCTCTTTGCTAGGTAAGTCTTCTTCTTTCTCTAAAGTACCTGTGAAATCAGTGGCAAACAAAGAGGTGAGTCTCTTGCTCCAGTTGTTCGAACTTTGTTCCTCAAATGGGAATATTTCTTCATAAAAAACATGTCGTGAAATATAAATACAATTATTGGAAGGGTCAAAGCACCTATATCCTTTGTGATCCATACTATAGCCAATAAAAATACAATGATTTGTCCTTTTAGAGAACTTATTATTGTTAGGATAGTTATCGGTGAGAAAATCCCTATTTTCTACAATTCGAATTCTCCGTATTTAAGGAATTCAAAATGAGAAGATATCTTAATGGTCTTAGGATTTCCCTAGATTCAAGAGAATATATCATTTATTATTCGAAAGAGAAAATATCCCGATGACCTTAGGGTTTTCCTTCTATAAATAGAATAGAAGGGAAATACTTATGATGAAGATATGCTACGAATCTCCACTCTTTACTAAGTCGAGTACTCGACTACTTTGATTTCGACTTAAGCATCGGAACCTGTGTGGCAAGAACCACACTGTTCTTTAGTGCTATTCTGTTTTGCAGGTCTCGTCGATCCCTTTTATTCTAGAAGATTGGTGTGAATTTGGCGAGATCCCAGGAGGCCAAATTTCTGCATCAACAATTGGCGTCGTTTGTGGGGACGACTAAGATCTAAAAAGTCAAGATGAAGAACGATGAATATCACGAGAATGCAACTACACTACCTTAAAAAGCAACCGATTAAAATGCAGAGTTTCTACTTAAGGCGATGTTGGTCAAGGAACTCGAACTGGGACAGACCGAGAAGCAGGCCGATAAGCCTGCCAGCTGTCAGTGAAACCGTGGAAGATCAACGACAGGTTAAGCCTAAATGATCAAAAGGATCCTAAAGGTGATGAAAAAAGTGTGCGTACAGTTCCAACAAGGTTAAAACAAAAAGCAGGCGAGCCAAAACAATCAACGAAACTCAGGGTATAAAACCATTTTTGCAAAAGCCAAAATAGGTTAGAAACCCAATGGTGTTGATTAAACTCAACCTATAAAACCATGGGCAGAAGTCAAATAGGTTGGAAACCCAAGGGTGTCAACTAAACTCAATGTATAAAACCATTGGCGAAAGTCAAATAGGTTAGAAACCCTAGAATAAACCCTGGGTATTAAATCATGGGTAAAAGCTAAATAGGTTAGAAACCCGAGGGTGGTACAATTAGCCGAGCTAAAAGTTAGATTCCAAGGCCAACAAAAAACTTAAACAGTTAAAACTAACTGTAGCATAGAGCCCAAGAGACTTGACTACAGCCAACAACGACAAAAGGTTATGGAGGCTATTCCACGAAAATAGTCATCCATGAAACGACCAAGCGACAAGTACTCTTAATATAGAAGGTTTAACATTATGTTAATGCCTATTACATTCTATTTTGAGGGTGGGGGCTAATGTTATGGGTGAAAAAATCCCTATTTTCTACAATTCGAATATCCCTTATTTGAGGAATTCAAAAAGAAAAGATATCCTGATGGTCTTAGCATTTTCCTTAGATTTTAGAAGAATATGTCCTTTTTATTCAAAAGAGAAGATATCCTGGTGGCTTTAAGATTTTTCGTCTATAAATATAATAGAAGGTAAATACTCATGATGAAGGTATGCTATAAATCTACACTCTTTGTTACGTCGAAATAACCTACTCTCCATATTCGACTACTCTGATTCTGACTTAAGCATCGGAACCTGTGTGGCAAGAGCTAGGGGTGTTCAAAAAAACCGACAACCTGAAGAACCTTGTAACCCAACCCAACTCGATTAGATGAAAAATCGATTTGGTTGGGTTGGGTTTCTGAGAACAGAACATTTCGGTTCGGGTTGCGGGTTTGACTTAAAAAAATTTAGTTTGAACCGAATTGAACCGACATTATTATTTATTTATTTATTATTATTATTATATATATTTATGTTTTAGGGTTTGCTTTTCCTTTTTATTTTCCGCTGCCTCTTCCTCTACATCTCCTCCTTCCAAATATTTTCTGTCTAAATCTCATCACTCTTTGTCTCTCACTTCTCTCCGTCTTTGATTTCATCACTTTCTTGCCTCAATCTTGATCTGACATCTCTCATCTATCACGATTTTATCTCAAACTCGATTTCGCCTCCCCGTTCCATTGTCGTTGTCTGTCGTCGCAGGTACCATGACCATCACCATAGTTTGTCGCTGCAAGGCTTCACCCGTCGCATGTCATCGCAGGGCCGTCGCCCATCGCATGTCGTCGCCGTCTGTCGCCCATTGCCGCCGTTGCCGCCTCTATATCTCAGTATCTATTGTGATGAGTGAATGTAAAGTTGAGTTTTTTTTTTAATGTCTGAGTGGATTTTCTCTCATATATCCTTCGATCGGTTTGTTTGGATCTGTCTAGATCTAAAACTTAAAAGCAATTGATTTGTTTAGATCTGGATCTTGAAATCTTTTGATTTGTTTAGATATGGAACTTGAAATGCTGTTTGGATCTAGAATCTGGAATTTGAAACTAACAACAATCCAGTTACCCAACCCAACCCAAAAATTTTCAGTTTGGTTGGGTTAGGTTGGCCCTCATGTTCGATTCTACCAGTTCTTTGATCGGATCAACTCGAACGGGTTGGTCCCAAAAACCCCTCTAACCCGACCCAACCCAATCCGTGAATACCCGTAGCTATTCTGTTTTGCAGTCTCGACGATCCCTTTTATTCTAGAAAATTTTTAAAGCCAAATTTTTGCATGATCAAGGATTATTTCTTAGATAAGAAAAATATATACATCCAAATATTCTAATTTTGCTATAATTAGGTTCTTTTCCAAATAAATTTTGAAAATGAGAGTTCATGCTTAAGGCTTTTATGAGCATTCGATTTATGAGATAAACCATAGTTTAAAGGCATTGTATAGGTAGAGGATGAGGTCAAACCTGGTCAAGGTCGGGCTCGTGGCAGAGCTGACGAGATATGTTGAGGGAAAACCTGCACAAAAGGGGCAAACTCTCCGACGCTCAAGTTAGTAAACAGATTGGACTCAATATAAAGTTCGAGGAGAAATTTGGTACCTGATGTGGAAATGGTGCACTCTATTTATAGGTTGGGACTCCCACAGACCTTTTGATCGGCAGTTATCGATGTCGCAGTCGGACATGTCGGAGAATTTTTGCCGAACCTGGTAAAAGGCTGCACCCTTCAGATACTCTTAATGGGGAATTTGCATTATGGTAGACCACCTTAGCCTGTTCCGAGATGGACCTCGTCAGAGACGTTCTCAAGTGGCCCCAATCTATATCTTCCACGTGGCATAAGGATGTTCACCCCGAACAAGCATCAATTCAATATCTTAGAGGCATGTGAGCTTGAAACATGAGAAATAGACCAATTTCAACGATATGTATATGTTTTCTCTCTACTACTCCATTTTGTTGTGGAGTGTAGGGAAAAGAAAGTTGATGGATTATTCCAAGTTTTTCTAAAATATTCTTAAAGGCAATGGATTGAAATTCTCCACCGCCATCACTTTGAAACACTTTAATTTTTCGTTTAAATTGGTTCTCAACTAAGAGTTGAGTTTAGCAAAGCAAGTAATAAACTCAGATTTCTTTTGTAAATTAAGGATAAAGCCACACATACCTAGAGTAATCATCTATAAGCTAACATAGTATTTAATGTCGACAAGTTGCCCCCATAAATTACAGTGAATTTTATCTAAAGATTTTGAGCACAAATTTTCATTAGACTTAAAAGGAAGATTACAACTCTTTCCTAGCTGAAACGGAGTGCAAATTTATTGCTCTTTTTTCCAATTTAAACATTGATGAGTTGTTTATTAGAGAGAATTTTCAAAAAAATTGTCATTCAAGTGGTATGGTCTTCCATGCCATACAATATGAGAAGCTTTATTCAAAGAAGTAGCAGTAGATGTAATGAAGGCAATATTTTCTGCTATCGGCTGCATTGTTGGCAACTGATAAAGTCCTTTTCTTTTCCAACCTTCAGCTAGAACTTATCCCTATGAATCCTTAATAACAATTAAATTTATCAGCAAAGAAAGATATGGAGCAATCATTATATCTAGTAAGTTTTCTAATGAATAGGAGAATTTTCTTAATTTCTAGTACTATTAAGACATTTTTAAGATCAATTTGACCTTTGTGAGTTACGAGTTTAGTGTTTCCAACGTGTGTTGGGTTCAAGCCACATGGGACGCAACTTCCACCAAGCGATGACTCCTTGCATATGTACGGGTATGGGGATAATACGCATACCCCAGGTATAAGGACATAAAGGCTAAAGGGCCGCCAACTCATGGGTAATA